TACTAGTTTGATGAAAACTGCATGTTTGTTTTCTGTTCTTTGGTCGGGTTGTTCTCACTTTGACAGATTCTCCGTTTCCAGTCTCTATTCTATTGATATCAGTTTTTGTGTTTTTTTGTCCCAATGACACCGAAAACATACTGTTGCTAGGTACTTTTCCAATGAAAATAAATAGTTGCTAAGCACTTTTTCGAGATAAATGAGTGGTTGCTAGGCGCTTTTACACTATAAATGAATGGTTACTAAGGAATTATGTGATAATATTCACCCTGAATTTTTAGGAAGGGTCTATTTGATAGTTCATCACTATATGGACTATCACATAGACCTTACAGTCATGAATCAAAACATGTATGGTTACTAGGTACTTTTGTATCAAAAACGGGTGATTGCTAAGGACTTTTGACATGACCTTGAAATCTTACTGTTGATCTGTACACAAAATAGTGGCTTTAAACGCCCTTAATATTTCTTGTCATGCTGATAATTTTTGCAATCTGAACTTTATATCTATCATGTCTATCTATTATAAATTTTCAAAAACAAACACATATAGCAAGATCTCAATACTGACGACTTCAAGTCTAAACCTCCTGATTGCACCTGTGCTAGTTCCAAATTCATGTATAATCCGTCTGGTGACCTAAACATTGTCAATAACACTTCTCTGCGAAATGTGTTATCCAATGGGCAGAAATATCGTTAGCCTAAATCGTCTAATTGGAAATACAACTTCAAAGTACGCACTGATGGATCCAGTCGAGGAGTATTCCAGGCAATGGGAAAAACGCGAGAAAGAAAAACGTAGATGCTATTTCCGAATTTATTAAGGCTGTGAGGTCGTTGATACAAAGCAGATTTTAAAAAAAAAGACTAAATGGATCTAGGAATACACAAGCTACATTATTCTTTAAAGACCCTAATATTGCAAAACACCTGTCCTACCTCAATGACAAATATGGTGTTGTCCCCGCAGATAAAGCCCCAAACAACATCGTTGTTGTGTGTAAATCACATTACATAAACTACTTGATAAATGAATTAGGTTTTGACAATTAACTTGGAAACTCAACATATACCCCCATGACACTATTCAAGGAGGAAATCCTGGAAAATTATAGGTCTGTACTATATTCCTTTAGAATTTCAACCAAAGATGAAGAACTGGATCTCCTTCACTGTATTGGATACCTAAATTACATAAGTGTCCTTATACACAACGTAATATTGCTGGGTCTTCCAAGTACTACACGAAACCTATTTCTAAATTACAAAGATCAATCTTATCAGCAATCAAAGCCTGGCTTCAAAGTTCTAGTGAAACTACCTATTCTAGAGGTGGTGTAAATCAGATGTGGATACTAAAAAATTCCAAAGATCTGTTAGATTACATACAATGTAAGACTCTTCCATCTTGCAATTGTGTTACTAGTAAAACATTTGACTTTTCAACACTTTACACAAGTATTTCTCCTTCCAAACTAAAAGATAAATTGAAAGTGTTGGTCCTGATTTGTTTCATAGAACAGAATGGCCAAAATAGATACAAGTAACCTGTCTTAGGGAGGGATAAATCATACTATGTAAAAAATCACTCTTCTTAAACTGACATTATCAAGATGCTTGATTTCTAGATTGACAACATATTTGTTGCGTTTGCAGGACGTTTTTTTCAACAAACAATCGGCATTTCATGGGAACTAACTGTAGTCCTCTTCTTGTCGACTTGGTCCTTTATTCATATGAGGCTGACTTCATAGAGGCGTTTCTTAGGAAGAATGAAAAGAAGTTATCCTCTAACATCACATTCCGCTATAAAGATGATGTTTTCTCACTAAATAATTCAAAGTTTAGTGACTATGTTGAACGTATCTATCCCATCGAACTTGAGATAAAGGATAAAACAGATACAGTTAAGTCTGCCTCATATCTTGACTTACATCTAGAAATTGACGATGAGGGTCGGTTGAAAACAAAACTTTACGACAAAAGAGATAATTTCAGCTTCCCAATTGTAAGTTTTCCATTTCTATGTAGCAACATTCCAGCAGCGCCTGCATATGGAGTATATATCTCCTAGTTGATACGATATTCCAGGGCTTGTATTTCCTATCATGATTTCCTTGATAGAGAGTTGCGGCTCACAAGAAGCTATCAAACCAAGAGTTCCGAGCGGTGAAGTTGAAATCATCCCTACGTAAATTTTACCATCGACATCACGAATTGGTTGACTGTTATGGAATGTCTGTCTCACAGATGACGACCGATATGTTCCAATTGTCGAAAATACAATACCGTCCTTTTTTTTATATTAGTTTAAATGTCCCTTTCGTATCATTTTGCCTCTCTTTTAGTTTTTAAAATGAGAGGCAAAAATGAAAAAAAATCGTCATTAAAGGGCAATAACTTCAATAAGGAGTCAACTGACGACTTCAGCCATGTTGAATTACTTGAAGACCTTGTCTAACTAATCATTTTTCCTAAAACAAATTTCTCTGTTTATATCATAGTTTTCAAAATAGAAATAGAAATAGCCAGGTGAGCTAAAAAGGGTACAATAATTTTCATTTAAGGGCAATCACACCTATAAAGACTCAACAAACGATTTCAGCAAAACTGACATTTTTCTAGATCTTTTCGCTATTTAAAGTGTCTATCTATCTTTTAGTTTTCAAGATAATAGGAATAAAATGCTCCGCTGGGGCGCAGCTTGATACGACCACAGAGGTCGAACCCTGAACAGTCGGGGCAAGTATGGACACAACATTCAAGCTTGATACAGCACTGAATTTGGATTGTAATTAAATATTTGACACAGCATAGGTTTCTGACACAGAATGAATGTGGTCTAAGAACTTAAAAAAAAATAATTTACCTATTCAAACCATATCATTATTATTTGCTTTTATATAAAAATCAGAAATAACCAATTTAAAATGGAAAATTTAAAGAAAAAAAAAGGAAATAAAAATCCAACCCCCAAATTTTTTGAACCCCCTTATGATTCATCAGCCCCAAACTCAATCCCAGCCTTCCCTTTGTGGTATGGTACCTTGAAGTACAATTTCAGAGAGATCCATACACTTGAACACAAGTTATTGTCTGGAAACTAGAAAAATGCGTTTTTTGGCCTCTTTTTGGCCCCAAATTCCTAAACATTTAGGGCAATTACCCCCAAACTCAAACCTAGCTTTCCCTTGGTGATATGGAACCTTGCAGTACAATTTCATAAAGATCCATACACTTACACACAAGTTATTGTCCTAAAACTAGAAAAATGCTCGTTTTTTTGCCCCTTTTTTGCCCCAAAATCCTAAAATTTGGAGGCAATTACCCCCAAAATCAATCCCAGCATTCCCTTTGTGATATGGAACTTTGTGGTACAATGTCAGAGAGATCCATACACTAACACACAAGTTATGTCTGGAAGTTACAAAAATGCTTATTTTTGGCCCCTTTTTGGCCCCTAATTCCTCAACTGTTGGTACCATAACCCCAAAAATCCATCCCCACCTTCCTTTTGTGGTATTAAACCCTATGGTAAAATTTCATAGAGATCCATTTACTTAAACTCAAGTTAGAGTGCGAAAACCAATGTGTCTTCGGACGACGACAATGACGACACCAACGTCATACCAATATTCGACCGCAAAATTTTTTTGCGGTCGTATAAAAAATGTAAAATTTTAGTTAAAATCTTCATGGAAGAGCTAGAACTCCAATAAGGAATTGACCGACGATTTCATCTATGTTGACTCATTTGTAGATCTAGTCTTGCTGTCAATTTTTTATATATAAAGTGGCTATCTATCTGTAATAGTTTTCAAGATAAGAGGCAGAACACTAATAATGGGTAAAAGTCGTCATTAGGGAGCAATAACTCCAATAAGGAGTGAAATATGATTTCAGCAGTAGACTTATTTGTAGATCTTATCTTGCTGATCAATTTTGCTAATTTGAGTTTCTTTCTATCTATTATAGTTTTTCAGATATAAGGCAAAAACATAAAAAATTAGTAAATATCGTCATTTAAGGCTAAATACTCCAATAAAGAGTTCAGATGATTTTATAACCATGTTGACTTATATATAGATCTTGTCTTGTTGATCATTTTCGCTTATTTAAGTTTCTATCTATCTATCTAATATATATTTTTCAGATATCAGGCAAAAAAACAAAAAAATGATAAAAACCGTTATTAAAGGGCAATAACTTCAATAAGGAATCATTTGATGATTTTGACCATGTTGGCATCTTTGTAGATTTTGTCTTGCTGATCATTTTTGATATTCAAAGTTTCTCTCTATATATTAATATTTTTGAGATGAAATGGCTAAAATGATAATAAATTTGTCATTTAAGGGCAATAACACCTATTAGAAATCTTCTTACAGTTTTGATGTAAAGGACATTTAATAGGTAGGTCTCATCATTCTGAACGTTTCTGCCCCCGTTAGATTTTCTCCATTTATAGCAATTTTTAAGAAAATAGACAAAACTTGCATTTACCCCTATGTTCTATTTTTTGCCATGTCAGCCATGATTGTTGACAGGGGGTTCATCAGACACATTCTTTAAACTAGATACCCTAATGATAATAATGGTCATTTTTGGTAAAATTTGGCCTTACAGTTTCAGAGGAGAAAATTTTTGTAAAAGTTAACAACGAAGGATGATGGATGAAAAAGCTCACGTAGCCCTATGGGCCAGGAGAGCTTAAAAGCAAATCTACCAAAACATTTCCTCACTGTTTCTTTTAAATGCCACATTTGAAATTTATAACTGACAAAAGGTATGTAATGCAGTGAAACCTTTTTACATGTTTACACCTAAGCATTGTCTAAAGCATGAATTGTTAATAAACCAAAACCAACACATACTGAAAACTTTTGTTAAACCCATAAACAGTGAATTATTTTGTAAATAGATATAAGAAGATGTGGTATGAGTGCCAATGAGACAACTCTGTTTTAAATTAATAGATCACTTATAACTAAATTGTAATATACACCTATTTTATTCTGATTAACAATAAATAAAACATCAATTAACATACTGACATTTTCATATATACACTAGATTTAAAAATTACTTTAAAAAATTATTCATACAAAATAAAAATCAGCATTCATGGGAAAGTTCTAATGAATCATAGATGAAAAGATCCTGCAACTGCTTTCATGAAAAATTAATCTTGAGAGAAAAAACTTGTGTAAGTCATTAATACTTCATTAAATTTTAGGATCAATTTTAATCTTAAGATTTAAAAAAAAATTTGCTATGAACATGATGAAGAAACAAGTAAAAAAAGTCTGATTCAGTATTATAGAAGTGGGAACCATTTTCCCTTGCTTATTCTTTTTTCTTTTCCTTGACAAAACACCCTCTTATTGCCTTCCATTATCATACCAATCTGTATTATATTCACCTCTTTAATGATTGCATAAATTTGAGGTAAACCATGTATAATGTACTATTCTATTCATCATTATCAAAATCACTATTTTATCATAATGTCTTATCCACACTACAGACTGTCAATGAAAAAACAAAATGCTTAAAAATATCACCAAGATTCATTTCTCAATGATACATCATTCTTTTTTTAGAATAGTTATTCAAAGATCATACTTCAATAAATCTGACTAAAAAGTACATATTGTCATAACGCATGGTTGTCACTGTTTCAAAATAAAGTATAAAGATTATCCTCCTAATTCCTCAGGTACAGTTCCACAAATTAATAGAATGTATCAGTGAACATTGCACTTTGTTTCATCTCTGGAATCACACCAATTTATCTATGAATAGAACAAGCTTCTCTATACCATCATCTACTTTTTCTTTTTCTTCCCACCTGATGAACTCTTTGGTCCTTTCTTTTCTTCCTAACAAAATAATAATAAATAAAATAAAGTAACATAGTCATTGATGTAAAGAAAGAATGTGTACTAAAAAAAAAAATGCTCTGCGGGACGCAGTTAGATACGACCACAGGGGTTGAACCCTGAACAGTTGGGCAAGTATGGACATAACATTCAAGCTCGATACAGCTCCGAATTTGGATTGTGATTAAATATTTGACACAGCATAGGTTTCTGACACAGAATGAATGTGGTCAAAGTACTGAAAAATTTGAAATTGGACTTTTACCTAATATGGTCCAATATCAAAATCTAAATACACAGTTAGATTCAGCATATCCAAGTAAATCAGGAATTTGATTTATTTATTTTCTTATAGACAATTTTAGCTAAGTTTTTAAAGGGGTTCACTACATCAAATGAAATATATATATAGCATTCTAAAAATTGATTTATGCAGAGTAACAAACAAACCTACCATGAAGTTCTTCGAAAAATTTACCCAAAAAAAATGAAAAAACAATTTCCAAAATATCATTGATCATTTATAATATGTCTTTAAAAAATCTATAAAACTTACCTTTAATCTATTTTCAAAATATCTAATAATGAACTGTAAAATTCAAACTATATTTATACATAATTTCTTCTCTAAAATTAGAATTTGATGCTGTATCTATTTTTAACTATGACTACTTACAATTTCTATTAACTGTATAATACAGCTCTGAATTTGGATTGTTAACTATGACTCTACTTACAATTTCTATTAATTGTGCAATACAGCTCTGAATTTGAAATGTGATTTATACATATTTAACATAGCATTAACATTTAATCTGACACAGAATGAATGTGGTCTAAGAACTTAAAAATTTGATATTGGACATTCACCTATTATTGTCCAATATCCAAAATCTAAATACATGGTTGACGTAAATGGACAGCAGGTAGATCTCAAAATTTCTGCCTTGTAAGATATTCTCTATTCATAGCAGTTTTCAAGATAATAGACAAAACTTCCATTTTACCCTGATGTTCTATTCTTAGCCATGTCAGCCATGCTGGTTGGCAGGCGGAGTCATCAGACACATTTTTTATAAAACTAGATACCCTAATGATAACTGTGGCCAAATTTGGTAATTATTGGCCTAATAATTTCAAAGAAGATTTTTGTAAAAGTTAACGGACAACTACGCAAATGACGGACAATGGATGCCAAGTGATGACAAGAGAGGATACAATAATTGTCATTTAAGGGCAATCACACCTATAAAGAGTCTACAAACGATTTCAGCAAATCTGACATTTTTGTAGATCTTTTCGCTATTTAAAGTGTCTGTCTATCTTTTAGTTTACAAGATAAAAGGAAAAAATGTAAAATTTTGGTTAAAATCTTCATGAAAGAGCTAGAACTCCAATAAGGAATTGACCGACGATTTCATCTATGTTGACTCATTTGTAGATCTAGTCTTGCTGTTAATTTATTATATATAAAGTGGCTATCTATCTGTAATAGTTTTCAAAATAAGAGGCAGAACACTAATAATGGGTAAAAGTCGTCATAAGGGAGCAATAACTCCAATAAGGAGTGAACTATGATTTCAGCAGTAGACTTATTTGTAGATCTTATCTTGCTGATCAATTTTGCTTATTTGAGTTTCTATCTATCTATTATAGTTTTTCAGATATAAGGCAGAAACATAAAAAATTAGTAAAAATCGTCAATAAAGGGTAACTACTCCAATAAAGAGTTGTTGGACGATTTAACCATGTTGACTTATATATAGATCTTGTCTTGTTGATCATTTTTTAATATCCAATATCCAAAATCTAAATACATGGTTAGATTCTGCATATCAAAGAACACAAAGAATTTAATTTTTGATGAATGTTTTGTAAAATTTTGTAGTCGTATAAAAATAAGTGCACATTATTTTGTCTCTTTTTTCTATTCATTTTGTTTTCTTGGCTTGAAAGTCTATCTATCTTTCATCATTTTGATTATATGCCAATCACACAAGGAAAATACTTTTAGAAGCTTGATCACAGAAAATGTACTCAACCTACACTTATAACCAGGAATATTGTCATGAGCAATGAGATTGTGAGAGGTAACACTAGTTAACCAATTTTGATCTGAAATGGTCATTTTAATCTTAACAGCTCTAAAAAGACTGAACAACAAATTATTAAGTCATGTTCAGTCTTTCAGACAATTTTCAGACTTATCTACTGAGGTAAATATATCTATGATGGCTCAATCTAATTATGATTCTTTTAAAAAATGACAGCCAACCTACTTATTCCAGATCCAGTTTTATGTGGATTATAAGAGTTTTAACAGACAATGCCCCCATATATATTAATTTTTAGTTATTTATATTCTAATATCTTACTTTAGATCTAATAAAGCCATGTTGATCTAGTAGTATTCTGGCACAGTTATTTATATGTTTAAATCTATCAGGACCTAAATGTACACCACCATACCATCTTGTTACTACTACCATTACATTTCTGGCATCTACTATCTACAACAATAAATCTTACGAACTTATTCACATATTAGTCTATTAATTATATCAAACCCACAAAAAGCTGCTGGAAATATCAGTGACTAATAGATAAATCATGTATTAGTCCCAGGAAACATTTATACTTTGAGGTGGTCAAATCTAGGAAAACAAATATGTTGTCTGAGGCTGCCTTGTATATCAATGATCACACAACGTGTTTGGTTAATATAGCTATAGATGATCTAACTCAAACCATTGAAAATTTTTACGCTGATTTCAAAGATCTTTTGCTGCAGATTTTGTGGGTGAAATTCAACCATGTTCAACAAAGTATAAATTGCCTATAGACTGGTATGCAGACTTTTGCAAAACCTCAAAATCAAGTATCCATGAAAAAACAATATTTCCTCAATCAATAAAAATTGGTACCCGTGAAAATAAATGAATCCACAGTATGCAACAGAATATAATGATAAGTACATACTACAAAAAATACTTCAGTGTTTTTTTTCGGTTGAAGAAAATATGAAGTGTCTTCAACATGTATCTTATAGGTTTTTTTACTTTGGCTGTTCTTATAATATTTAAAATAAGTGTCAAGTAAGTTATCAAATTTTTGACTATTTAGTACAAAAAAAGTTCAATAAAATGCTCTGCTGGGTGCAGCTTGATACGACAGCAGAGGTCGAACCCTGAACAGTTGAGGCAAGTATGGACACAACATTCAAGCTTGATACAGCACTGAATTTGGATTGTGATTAAATATTTGACACAGCATAGGTTTCTGACACAGAATGAATGTGGTCTAAGAACTTAAAAAATTTTAATTTACCTATTCAAACCATATCATTATTATTTGCTTTTGTATATAAATCAGAAATAACCAATTTAAAATGGAAAATTTTAAAGAAAAAAAAGGAAAACAAATTCCCCCCCCCCAATTTTTTGAACCCCCGTATGATTCATCACCCCCAAACTCAATCCCAGCCTTCCCTTTGTGGTATGGTACCTTGCAGTACAATTTTAGAGAGATCCATACACTTGAACACAAGTTATTGTCTGGAAACTAGAAAAATGCTTGTTTTTAGGCCCCTTTTTGACCCCAAATTCCTAAACATTTAAGGCAATTACCCCCAAACTCAAACCCAGCTTTCCCTTTGTGATATGGAACCTTGTAGTACAATTTCATAAAGATCCATACACTTACACACAAGTTATTGTCCTGAAACTAGAAAAATGCTTGTTTTTTGCCCTTTTTTTGCCCCTAATTCCTAAAATTTTATGGCAATTACCCCCAATATCAATCCCAGCCTTTCCTTTGTGGTATGGTACCTTGCAGTTCAATTTCAGAGAGATCCATACACTTGAACACACGTTATTGTCTGGAAACTAGGAAAATGCTTATTTTTGGCCCCTTTTTGGCCCCTCATTCCTAAACATTTTGGGCAATTACCCCCAAACTCAATTCCAGCTTTCCCTTTGTGATATGGAACCTTGTAGTACATTTTCATAAAGATCCATACACTTACACACAAGTAATTGTCCTGTACTAGAAAAATGCTTGTTTTTTGCCCCTTTTTTTGCCCCTAATTCCTAAAAATTTGAGGCAATTACCCCCAAAATCAATCCCAGCCTTCCCTTTGTGATATGGAACCTTGTAGTACAATTTCATAAAGATCCATACACTAATTCACAAGTTATTGTCTTGAAACTAGAAAAATGCTTGTTTTTTGCCCCTTTTTTGGCCCCTAATTCCTACAATTTTGAGGCAATTACCCCCAAAATCAATCCAAGCATTTCCTTTGTGATATGGAACCTTGCATTTCAATTTCAGAGAGATCCATACACTTGAACACAAGTTATTGTCTGGACACTAGAAAAATGCTTATTTTTGGCCCCTTTTTGGCCCCTTATTCCTAAACACTTAGGGCAATTACCCCTAAACTCAATTCCAGCTTTCCCTTTGTGAAATGGAACCTTGTAGTACAATTTCAGAGAGATCCATAGACTTACACACAAGTTATTGTCATGAAACTAGAAAAAATGCCTGTTTTTGCCCCTTTTTTGGCCCCTAATTCCTAAAATTTTGAGGCAATTACCCCCAAAATCAATCCAAGCATTTCCTTTGTGATATGAAACCTTGTGGTACAATGTCAGAGAAATCCATACACTAACACACAAGTTATGTCTGGAAGTTACAAAAATGCTTATTTTTGGCCCCTAATTCCTTAACTGTTGGTACCATAACCCCCAAAATCAATCCCTGCCTTCCTTTTGTGGTATTGAACCTTATGGTAAAATTTCATAGAGATCCATTCACTTAAACTAAAGTTAGAGTGCGAAAACCTTTGTGTCTTCGGACGACGACGCCGCCAACGTCATACCAATATACAACCGCAAAATTTTTTTTTGCGGTCGTATAATAAACTGTTTCTGGTCTCATTCAATAGGTTTATTTTTTTTAATTTCAGCTATGATTGAAATATGAGTTTCATAAATGTGTGTTCCCCATTCATACCAATTATAACAATTCCATATTGTGGAAATACCTGTAATAAATGAAGTAGACGTGACCCAGCATGAGTTTCCCCGTCATCTTCACACATCTGATAGAATGTAGGATGACCTCCATGTTCATCCTTTAATATTCTACAGGCATATATATTATGAGTAGCAGATGCTATCTTCTTGTTTTCTTTTAGGGAAGACAGCATCATTTTTGTCTGAAAGAATAATATCAATAACAAATTCTTATCAAAAAATTTAAAACACTGATTTTTTAGAGAGAAAAAAAATGAAACAGATATATGTAGAGTGCATTTTAGATATTGGAGTTTTAAATATTCCATAACCTAATTTATTAGAACAATTGTTGTAAAGAAGATAGTTTTCCTATTGGCATTAACTATTTTTTTCTGCATTGTTCAGTAGAATTAACCATTTATAACTTTCTTTAAATTCTAGGCGATACCAAAAATTAGCTGACCTTTTGAGTCTTCCTGAGGCTTAACTAGAGGCTCTAAAGAGCCTGTGTTGCTCACTTTGGTCTATGTGCATATTCAATAAAGGACACTCTCCAACATTGTAAACCAGAATAGAATTCTTGACAAAAATCTGTTTTGTTGACCTTGTTTTGCTGATAATTTTTTGCGTTTTTAAGTTTCTCCCTATCTATTATAGTTTTTAAGATAATAGGCAAAAATGAAAATAATGTTAAAATTTGTCATTAAAGGGCAATAACTCCTGTAAGAAGTCATTTGACATTTTTGATGTATGTAGACAATTGGTACACATCAACTTCTGAACATTTTTGCTCATATCTGATTTTCTCTATTTATAAAGGTTTTTAAAATAATAGACAAAACTTGCATTTTACCCCTTTGTTCTATTTTTAGCCATGTCAGCCATCTTGGTTAGCAGGCGGGGTCATCTAACATATTTTTTAAACTAGATACCCTAATGATGATTGTGGTCAAGTTTGAATAAATTTGGATTAGTAGTTTCAGAGAAGATTTTTGTAAAAGTTAACGACGCCAGGTGAGCTAAAAAATGTTCAAAGGCAAGACATAGAAATGTTTACCAGGACCAACCCCAGAATTAAATTTTTCTGCTATAAAGACAATATTTTCAACTACAGCAAACAAAATTATGATTTTTTGCTGTTATGTTTTATTTATTTTGGTACATACTTATTGTTCCTGAAATTCTTTTTTTTAACTTAAATTAAACGACATATTTCAAATGTTTTCCCAAGTAAACTCTTTGAAGAAGTTAAGCATGTAAAAAATAAAACTGCTACAATATAATTTGAATGCTTATTGTTTTACCTGAAAATTTCAATATTTGTTATCTAAATTTCAAATCAAATGTGAGATGAATATTCATGAGAGAAACCCAACAACATGAACAAACCCAAATATTAAAAAGACATCTTGCACTTGTTAAACACTGAATACTTGAGGAATGCATATGTGATCTACATATTTGCTATGTACCTGTTTAACATGGAATACTTGAGTAATGTGACCTACAAATCTCAATTTTACCTGTCTAACATGAAATACTAGCACAATGTGACCTATATATCTCAATTTTACCTGTCTAAAATGAAATACTAGCACAATGTGACCTACATATTTCAATTTTACCTGTCTAACATGAAATACTAGCACAATGTGACCTACATATTTGTTGTGTATCCGTTCAGCATAAAATACTAGAGCAATGTGCCTACTAATTTGCTATGTACCTGTTTAACATGGAATACTGGGGCAATGTGACCTACAAATCTACTGTTTCTGTCAACAAGCACCTCCCCTGATGTTATAACAGGACACTCCCAATCTATAAAATTTAAATTTAAATAACATTCAAAATTATTTTGTTAATCAAAAAAGAATATGTATCCATAGAGCACAATACCACGCTTACACTATCACATATATATGTTCAGTACAGTTTATAGCAAAATCAAGGTTAAACCCTCATTTGGCACAAGTTTTTAAAAGTTCAAATCATAATGAACAGGTAAACTAATTTTCAAACTGATATAAACTAAACCTCCTAGTAAACTACCTTAAACCAAAACTGTAACTGAACTGGTAATGGATCAATGGATGGACTGACAGATAGACAAATTGACAGACTAAAAAATATAATGTTCCAACTATTGTATAAAATTACATCCATCTGGTCTTTTCTGTTAAAATATAGTGTTACTCCTACCTTAAAGCTTTATGTTTTTTTTAATGTACATCCTAATTTTAACGGAGATGTTGTTTACAGAGCCAGGAAATTTAAATACGATCCGGATAAACTTATAGATCCTTTAAATAAACTTATTCTAAAAGGTTACCAATTCAACACTATAATTAGATCTTTAAATATTGTTTTTATTGGTATTAATATTGATTTTGTTATCAGTAAATTAAAATCAAACTTAAAAGTTATTCAAACTAGTTTAACACCGCCACATTCTGTATGTGCCTGTCTCATATTATTTTTATATACATATGCACATTCATGTATCTACAATCTGTCGATACCTGTATCTTGGCATTGCACGAGGTCATGTTGTTCTTTAACTGTTAATGATGTCTTTACATTAAATCCATTGGATGTTGGATGTACTGATTGTTATTTTAGTCTTAGATGCATGATTTTTTTTATTGGTTGTTATTGGCTTTGAACTAGCTGTCAGTAACTGCGAGTACTCTCTGATCTGTACTTTAACTTAGTGTCTTTTTGTTGTGGGGATGTATAAGTTCCCTGCCATGTCCACTCTCTGTTTTTGTTAGATGTATTTCTGCTTTGTATTGATCTGATAAGTTTAGCCCTTTTCAACTGATTTTTATAGTTTGTTCTTATATTGTACTGTTACACCACTGTCCCAGGTTAGGGAGAGGGTTTGCGCACCTTCAAACTAAATTAACAGCGCCACATTCTGTATGTGCCTGTCCCAAGTCAGGAGCCTGTAATTCAGTGGTTGTCATTTGTATATCATATTTGTTTTTTGTTCATTATTTTGTAAATAAATCAGGCCGTTAGTTTTCTTGTTTGAATTGTTTTACATTTGTCATTTCGGGGCCTTTAATAGCTTACTATACGTAATGGGTTTTACTCATTGTTGAAGGCTGAACAGTGATCTATAGTTGTCAATTTCTGTGTCATTTGGTCTCTTGTGGAATGTTGTCTCATTGGCAATCTTACCACATCTTTTTATTTTTATATCACATATCTAGCTATATCTAGCTTGCTTATTGTTTTGACAGATTTGATCGATGAACCAATCAAGTTTCAGTGAATAGCTATAGTTTCAATCATCAATAAAAAGTTCTAGTTAGTTTCTTTTGATTTAATTAATAAATGTCTTATCTATGCAGCTTACATCAAAGAGCAAGTCTTTGCCTTATTCACATGCTTGTCAGTTTTGTTTGTTTGTTTGAGTAGGTTTAAATGCATTTGTATAGATATATATATATATATGTTAGTACAATTTCATGACAGTCAGTTAAACTGGTGGAGGTATATCAAAGTGCCTTGGGTAAATAACAATCATTTCCAAGAAACTGATTATTTTTATCATATTCCAATTATTATATATTACTCTATCATATACCAGTAGACGTTTACTCGATCATATACTAGTAGAATTTTTCATCGTATTTTTTGTCTATAAAAGTGACAGGAGACATTGTGTTTATAGAAAAGAGACAGCAACTCAACAACAAAAATAACCAAAAGACATAAATAGAGCAACAAATTATGATTATTAATATTAAGATGATTAATTCTGCATTCAGCATACTCAGTCAAATCATAACCTGTCTCCTTGTCTCTTAAAGGCAGAACTATACAGAAACATAATCTACCTGAACCATCGTCTGCTTGTTCAATTGATTCAGGTGATGTAAGTTCCAATTGAGCAAGGCGAATGTCTTCATCTCCAAAACAGAATTCTTCATCTGAGGAAACATTTTCATTTGGTGATTTATTGCCTGGGGAAAAAAATGCAGAATAAAACAGTGTAGAAAATGCAGGCAATACAGGAGAAATTGTGAGACTTAATATTCAAAGTAGGAATTTGATATCCCTGTTGTCATATTTTGATTTCTTAATAGAAACATGAGTGCACTAGCTGAAATCTTGCCTGCTTTACTGACTGTTGATTTTATGTTGATAGTCCTAAATTAAAAGTTTTACTACAAGTGTCACATAAACTTCACATGATTTAAGAAAATGAGGTCAAGGTCAGATAAACCAAGCCAGAAATACATGTACAGGTACACCTTACAATCATTCCATACACCGAATATAGTTAACTTTTTGCTTATAGTATACAAGAAACAGACAAATCCATGAAAACTTTATATTGACCAATGCAATGAACCATAAAAATGATTTCAAGGTCAGATGAAACCTGCCTGCCAGATGGACATGTACACCTTGCAATCTTTCCATTCACCAAATATAGTTGATGCTTATAGTATCTTAGAAGAGGACGTAACTACTGAAACTTTACATTGACCAATGAACCATGAAAAAGAGGTAAGGGACAGATGATACCTGTCAGACAGACATATACACCTTACAATCACTCCATATACCAAACTTAGTTGACATATTGCTTTAAGTATAAAAAAAACCCAGACCAAAACACAAAAACTTCAACTTTAACCTTAATCACTGATACATGAAATGAGGTCAAGATCAGGTGAAACCTGTCTGACATACATATAGGCCTTGCAAGATACCCATATACCAAATACAGTTATCCTGTTACTCATAATGAGTGAGAAATTCACATGATAAAAAAAAATAAACTTCTTTTTTAAAGCAGTCGCTGAACTATGAAAATGAGGTCAAGGACAAAGGACATATGACAGACGGAAACTTCATAACATAAGGTATTTGTATACAAATTATGAAGCCTCTAGTCTTCTACCTTCTGAAATATAAAGCTTAATACGAATAGTTAACACCACCGCCGCCAGATTGTAATCCCTATGTCTCACATTCTGTGACAACCAAAATATTAGGAGGTTCTCAATCTTAATCATTGAAATAATGTGTAATTTTTCTTTATTTGCATGTATTTTACAATTAACAGAATATATCTTAAAACAATTTGCTTTAAATACGATTTTACCATGGCTGGGAAAACTATGACTTTATTAATGTTTCATTAGAACAAGTTTGTTTTATTTTCCAATGTTCCTTGTTTATTCTGTTCCAATTTAAGCAGGTGGCAAAAGGTTATTTTCCTGCAGCATGATTGCTATTTCATTTCATGTGTCTTCTTGCTTGAAGCTCATTATTCCTAAAGTTTTGTGTAAAAGAGCAATGTGTAAGCTAACTATTGTTCATCATGAAATTTATTTCCTGTTCATCGTGCACATACACTTATCTATGACCCTGATTTAAGATAGACTATACCAGTTTCCAGTATTTCCTGAACTAATTCTCTTATCTTTTCTACCCATAGGTATATTAGACTTTCACCAAGATTTTCTCTGTAAAACAAATTTATATTAAATAAGCCCCTTATTGAACCTCAGTTGTGAATTTCAATCAATACTCTTGTTATATATCTTTCTATCAATGCAAATTACTCACAATTAAATCATTGTTCATAATATGCATCATTTCATGTTCAACATCAAACAAAACTAAGCTAACATCAAAAACCTTGTTAAAGAATGAAGTTAAACTTAGGTTACTTGAGCATCAATAGTTCCTTCACTAAATTACTTTAACACTCTATTAATAACTGTAAATTTAAAAATTCGCAAAAATAAGAAATATAGATTCCATCACTGCAACAAGTGTGTTACAATATTTCTACACTCGAGACAGTTAAATTTTAATATTTAAAGTGTGAGGCTTGCCAAGCTTTTTAAAAAATTAAAATTTAACTGTTGAGAGTAGAGAAATATTGTAATGCACGAGTTATAGTGGTGGAATCTGTTTCTCTAATGATTTTTTTCCTTCTTTTTCAAACATTTATAGAAAGTTGTGTTCTTTATATGTGACGTCATCAGGCATGGTCACCTTTTTTCAGGACGTCACAATAGGAAATTCAGAAGAAATCCAGAAATTTTAACGTCATAATCAAATTTCGACCAATCACCTGCTGAGAACAGATATTTCACTAGTGAGGAGAAATATTTTTCTTACACCGCTTAAGAAATGTGAAAATAGCACAAAAATAAGGGAACTTGCGTTTTAAATTTTGATAGCATTATTTGTATGCAGCATTACCTGATATCTCAATAATTAATCTTACATTTGTGTCATGATTGTTCAACGAACCGAATAATAATTGCATACACTAATTTCTAAATTTTCAGTATTTGTCAGTACTAAATCAAACTACCCAATCCATATGCAGTACTTTATGCTAATGATATCAAAGTCAATTTTAAGATGTAAATGAGTTAGCCACAGCAACACAATGACACATAACAAGTCAACTGAAGGTCACCATAATGACCTCAATGATAGACACATGTTATGTTACTATCCATACCACATTCAAGCTCTACACAAGTTTTAAAAGTTTGACATTTTCACTCTTAGATTGGTGCATTATGCAGTGGTATTATTTTTCTATCTTTTCCTGTAATTTATCTATGCAGTGTTTTTTTATGGACAATTTAAATGACAGTCTTCAAACTTTTTCACTTAATATTCTTTGAAATAGGCATAATTGTTAACATATTTTACAGCCATGAATATTGTTTAACTCACAAATAAACATCATTTAGAGCATTTTCTATCTTTTGTCTAGACTCTCCTTTCAACCATGGAGCACTGAAATGGCAAAGTATGATGATAGGCATGTTAGCTCATTTTATTACATAAACTGATAGAAAAACTTTTTAATAAAATTATTTGAATGAATGCACAGCTCAAATGATTCCACATAGATATTCAGATTTACTCAGCCTTCTAACAGCCTTTGTCTGATTATGATGTTGTTACACTGAATCTGTTAGAGGTGAACTGATTGAAAGATCAGTCTGGGAAAACTTGGTTTATTCATTAGTTACTATCAGGCTTTGAACTGGCTTTCAGTTACTTTGAGTATACTTAGATTGTCACCTATTTCCTTTTAGTAAGTTTTTTTCTTCTTAGTAATGATCTGATGATTCAAGCCCTTTCCAACTTTTTTTTTTAAAGCAATGCCTTTTTGCCTAGGTGTTACATCATTTTGAGCACTTAAATATATTCTTGGAGTGGCCTGGGTTCCTGGTCAATAGTTCATTCAAATGTTCTTTGAAGCTTAAGTTATTTGCAGATTACTTTAAATTAGGGATGTCAACTCGGTGAACAATTACTGATCGAGTACTCGTTGGTTTTATCGAGCAATACTCGAGTACTCGCTTGGGAATATATCTACGACACGGAAAACAAAAAAACGTACTTTACATTCTGTGGTTTGTTGTTCAACGGACGAAAACCCATCTACATAAGTATCTGGGACAAGGAATTACACACCATAATTAATAGATCATTACCTATACAGGTACTAATTAAGTAAAAAAACAATAATCTAATCAATATAGTTTAATGAACACCTATTTAAAAATTATAACAAGGAAAAACCATTTCAAACAATAGTATTTGGTAATCGTTAAGAAAACACATTTAATGTTTACAAAGGCGTAAGGATTAGAATTTTAATTATTCACTGAGGGTCACCAGAGGATGCAAAGAATTTATTTTATTTGCAAATATTTTCTTGTCAACTATTATTGGGGACAGTCGGTTTTGCAACTTTGTAAATTACAGTCTGGCAGTCGAAAATATTTGCTCTGATGGTATCGATGTGACGGAATGGCTAAGACATGTTTTAAAAAAGTTTAAAGAATTAGCCTAGGTAGGCATAGCCCACGTATTTTCCTAGGCATTTTCAATGACAATTTAGCACAAGCATTCGAAACAAAATGTATTTCATTTACTAGTATGATTAATCAGTGATGCCTATTTAATTTTCCGAAAGAGGTTAGACTCAAAAAGATCACTTTACTACAAAGAAAACAGCAATATTCTGACAGGAAACCGATTAGTCGAGTATCGTTTTGGTATTCGACACATGGTACTACCGAGCGATACTCGAATACTTGAGTACTCCTTGACATCCCTACTTTAAATAAAGCTGTTGACTTTCACTTATCTGCTTAAGGTCGGCCGAAACTAAGATACCAGTTTAATTCTTGATTACCTTTATTTATATCCTTGTTGATATTAAAATGCAAATAAACAATATAAAAATAAAGAGATGTGGTATGATTGCCAATGAGACAACTATCCACCAAAGTTCAAATGAAGTGGATGTAAGCAATTTAATATAGGCAGCTGTACAGCCTTCAACAATGAGAAAAACCCATACAGTATATAGTCCACCATAAAAGGTGTAGACATAAAAAATGTGAAACAATTCAATTGAGAAAATTACAGGCCTAATTTATAACAAAACCATTTATGAAAAAACAATATGACAGACATGAACCAACGACAACAAGTTCTTTTTTACTGCTATTACATTCTTACATCAAGATAAACTAAAAGTGACTTTTTGTTTTTATTTAATGTTCAAAATAAGTTAATTCGATTGAATTAATCCTTTTTATCAAAATGGATTGAATTATGCAAGCAGCAGTCCACCATATCATAGACTACAACATATATATACAGTAATATAAAAATCTTAACTAAATATATATACAGTAATATAAAAATCTTAACTAAATTAGTTAAGATTTTTATATTACTGTATATATATGTTGTAGTCTATGATATGGTGGACTGCTGCTTGCATAATTCAATCCATTTTGATAAAATGACTAAAAGGATTAATTAGAAATTCCATATAAAATACTGGTAAATGTAAATCTATGACAAGAAAAAGAAATTTCAATAATCAAAATAAAAACTTTGAACTTGTCACATTCTTGATGTTCTAACACTGCTTGTCCCAAATCAGTAGCCTGTACTAAGTATTTTGTTGCTGTCTGTGATAATTGTTTTTTTTTTAATGTTTTAGTACAAATCAGGCCATTGGTTTTTATTATTTTAAATTTTTTCACATCTTGTTGTTCTGTGGGTTTTTTAGCTTACTATATGGTTTTATTTTTGCTCCTTAATGAAGTCAGTAAAGTAACTTGTAGTTGTTCACAATCCTAGTTATTTGGTCATTGTTGGAATAATTTTCTTATTGGCATAAATAACTTGTCTGCAGTTAATTTCTATCAATTTTTCATAAAAAATCATAAATTTGAAATGAAGTACAACATATAAAAAAATTAAAACCCTCAAGTTGCTTGTTCCAGTTGTATTGTTTTAGGATTGTTATCATAATGAAGTAGACCTCAAATCTTTATTTAATATGACACTAGTGTCAATCATAAGTTTCTTAATTTAGATGATGTTTAGACTGAACATTAGCGGTCTTTATCAAATATGTAGCACCAAATAACTTTTATCCAATACACTTTATACTTAATTTTCATCATAAAACTGAAACAATGAAATTCATAAAAATAAAATATATACTGTACCTTATCTGGTAGTTAGGTGGTCCATCTTTTGGATAGCCATCAGTAAAAATTATCTAAAAAATATTGTAGATATATTTATGAATAAAAAGAGATTTGAGATATATTTCAATGAGACAGCCTCTCAACTAAACAAGTAACTAAAAGATATCTAGAGGGGAGCATACAGTCATTAACATCAAATAGGTGTATATTCAATCAAGCTCTAAATAGTCAAAAGTCTAAAACAAAAAGTTGTGAATGAATTGGCAAAAAATATCAAATATCTGTCATTCACACAAAATTTGTCAAATAACAAAAAAACATTAAGATCTGACATAAGACAACCACCTGATGTTGTTCATGATCATGTGACCTCTTTACAATTAGATAAAATATATTGCAACAGAAAGCATATATAGTTTTAGTATAACCTAAAAAAAAAAACATTCTCAATACCAATAAAAATATTTTTCATGTTTGTAGTAATCATATCCTCATGAATACCTTGACATTTACTTCAATCCAAAGTAATCATACTCAACATTATACTTTACTGCAGTTAAAAGCATAATTTAAAATGTAAGTAAAATGGTGTTTTAATTTATTGATCAGATCATTTTTAGATTATTTCCCTTTGTTCTACTTGAAGTTTGTAAATCTGCAATCTTCCCTAATAGCTAAATATTTATGCAAAATAGATCAAACAGATGGTCAAGATTGGTACTTACTTCTAAATTAATGCCATGAGATTGGTCATGCTCAGCTGTTATATGTATGTTATATTCATGATCACTAATCATCAAACAATCATCACCATAAATAGATGTCAAAGCTTCGATCTCTTCTTTCTTAAAAATAGGAAAAATTCATAGACAATGTCTTTAAGAGAAGTATTACAATTTTAAATTGAAATTTCTGTTATAACATTCCTTTGTAACAACAGCTGGAAAATGTCATCCTGTGGTTTAAGCTGTGGCATAGCAAACTGAAGTGGGCAATTACAGTACAAAAATGTACATGTATATCACAGAGGGTTCAATTAAAAAATTAAAATAAACAAAACTGATTGTTGTATGATGTCAATAATTCAATTGCTGCAAATTCTAAGGTCAAGTGTTCAAGTGTTAAAGATTCCCAAACATTGATAAGGTTTACACCATGTTCGAGATGTTTCATCTTTGCAGGTTTTTTTTTTCACACACAAAATAATTGTTCAATGTTTTGTTTTATGGTTCAAGCGTCCATGATTTTCATTTCTGACCTTTGAACAAGTTACGCTATACCTTTTGTAATATGCTGGTAATAGAGAAATTACTTTTGAACGACGACCTGTTTTCTTTGTAAAACGAAAGTAGAAAACGAAACTACAGTAGAGCAAAAACAATGAGTAAACTTATTATATTCTTGTTTTTATCATCTAAATTTAATTCATTACCTGTCTTTCAAAATTTGTTTCTGTCATGCTTTTTAAACAACAAAACTACATAAAAAATCTGTCAGTTTCAGCAGAATTTGATGCAACCTGAACGTGTCTCTCCTTCCACACGACCGCCATTTTAAAAATAACAGTAATGAATCACGTGTTTGATCACGTGATGATAGAGAGTAGATTTATAACCCTCTGTATACATGTACTGTAATTGAGAACCTCTTAATCACAAATGTGAAGTGCGTGAAGAAAAATTTACAAGTGAAATGACAATACAACCTGATGTCTAAAATAGAATTTCAAGCAAGAAGACTTGTGTTCCTCATACACAATCATGACAAATCACGATATCAACTGCTGATGAAAGACCAAGCAAGCAAAAACAGCGTTGCGTTGAAGACCCATCGGTGGCCTTCGGCTGTTGTCTGCTCTTTGGCCGGGTTGTTGTCTCTTTGACATGTTCCCCATTTCCATTCTCAATTTTAAATTTAATAAACCTTATCGCTATTTGGAAATCTGTCCCGGTTGACCCGAGTATCATCTGCCCCGCTTGAACTATTGACGTCATACAACAATCACTTTTCCATTATGGCGTCATATATTTTGTATTATGACGTCAAAATTTTACGGGAACCTTTGTGATGTCCAGTATTAAATGGCGGACAAATAGCGATAAGGTGTATATTAGAAGACCAAACACTTTAAACTTCCCGATGTAAAAAGTGTTTAAAAACTTTAAACTTCCCGATGTAAAAAGTGTATATAAGACATATAATGTCTTTAGTTGTGATTTTTAATTTTCATTAAGTTTTATATTTTTGGTGGTGGAACTGTTCGACATACGAAAGTATGGTTACCCTATAAAAGGTGTAAAGATCCAGCTAGAGAAGAAGAAGATTATATTGCGGTTAACGTAACGTAACGTAACCGAAAAATTATTGTGTTTATGTTTAATAGATATAAGAAGATGTGGTATGAGTGCCAATGAGACAACTCTCCATCCAAGTCACAATTTGTAAAAGTAAACCATTATAGGTCAAAGTACGGCCTTCAACACGTACGGAGCCTTGGCTCACACCGAACAGCAAGCTATAAAGGGCCCCAAAAATGACTAGTGTAAAACCATTCAAACAGGAAAACCAACAGTCTTATCGATATAAAAAACGAGAAACGAGAAACACTTATGAACCACATCAACAAACGACAAACACTGAACTTCAGATTCCTGACTTAGGACAGGTGCAAAGAAATGCAGCGGGTTTAAACGTTTTGATAGGCGCCAACCTTCACCCTAACCTGAACCAATAGTGTAACATCACAACATAGAAAGACACAATATAAAATATCAACTGCAATGACTTAACTCAATCAAAAGACATATTAACAAAAACAAGTGAACATATACACTGAACGAATAAATTTGATGTATGACACAATGTAAATACAAAATTAATAAAACAAGGGGGTTAGATGTAAAACAATATAAGAAAGACAACCATAACCTTGGACAAAATGCCGCCAAATAAAATAATGTACACATGTAAATAAAAATAATTTTGTTGTAAGGTATAGATAGAGTACGGAAATATTTTTTACAAAATAAATAATTTTGTTGTTCATAGTACGAGAACAGAAGATGTATATTACAAACAATAGCAGTAAGTATCAGTAAGGAGAAACTACAAATTTTCAAATTATAGAAGAAACTGATTAAAAGGCGTTGATACTTTAGTTACCTTTTCTTGCATCTGCTTTTACAAATTCAGTTCCACCACTTTTCCCGTCCACTTTAGCTCTTTTAAGAGATGGACATTGCTCATCTTGTATCTGTAGAAGACTTTTATTAATGTATGGGTGACATCAAATTAAAACGAATTTCTACTACATCATTTTTTAATATTTCGTTGGTGTTGGAATATCAGAAGCTTCGAGAATCTGTAACACCTCTGAATTCCTTTGGGGGAGAAATATAATGATACACTGATTGCCATTAAAATGTTTGTATTTATATATACGTTTTTGTTTTGTTTTCATTTGTGTGGTTGGGTTTGATGAATACATGCAACCAAAAAACTCCTCGACCCCACTGACAGTAGACTCAGGCTAGGGAATAACGGCGACACATTATACTTTATCAAGAATTGGATGTAACAAGTATCCTTCTAGTTTTTGGATTAACTGAAAATATGGTAATTTTCCGAATCTAGAATCTGTTGTATTTGTAGTGACTGGTGGCAACATGGAAGACTAATTGTAAAGCAAAATATTGTCCTATGAAATATTTTCCCACACGACAATAATTCATAATTACGTATCATCATATTTTGTCCCCATCTATGAAAATTTTCAATGAAATTATCAATTATGCCACGGTCAGGTATACAATATTTCACGATTGTTTAACTGTTATTATTTTATGTTACATAATTGGCAAAAAAAGGTCGTGCTGGGATGAAACTGCAGTTACTACGATCCTAATATGGCGGAGGTAGAAACAAGTAAAATCGTTTTCTGCTAATTTCTCCGCGTGAACGTGCTGTTTTCAAGAATTACTCAGCAGCCAGGTTGGTCTGTACGGTTTTGTTGTGTGTGTATGTTATAAATATGATATATGATATATGGGCTCGTTAACGAAATAATAGCCATTGAAAATGTTAGGAAGATAATCGTAACTCCAACAAAAGATAATGGTAACATGGGGACAAATCACTTGAAAGATAATCGTAACTGCAGAAAATTTCAATGATAATAGTAGCTGATTTTGATAAAAAAAAAAAGAAAGATTGTGTCATAATAACAACGGTCGTGATAGTGGTACGTCATTTGTTCACCACCATACCTCAACGGACGACTAAAATATGGCCCGGTATGAAATTATTATGCACACAACTTTTCAAATCATTCCAACACAAATTTAATCATTTTATAAGCCTGAATCTAGATTGTTTACAATTCTATGCATATAAATGAATCAGAAAATTATAGTTGTTTAATTTTCAAAACAAAAATAAGATGTGGTATGTTTGCCCATGAGACAACTATCCACCAGAGACCAAAAGACGTAGATGCAAGCAACTACAGGTTATTGTACGGCCTTCAACAATATGTAAAACTCATAAAGAGAGCTAACGACCACCACTAAATTACAGTCTCCTGTCTTGGGACAAATGAACACAGAATGTAGCAGGGTTAAACATGCTTGTGAGCGCTCTCCTCCTTCTTTATATGAAGAAGCATCTCTTTTATTCCCAGATTTCTTACTCTTCTTCTTCTTTCTGTACGCTCTCTTCTATGTTTTGATTAACCATTTAATATCCAACCCCCCCCCCCCCAACCCCCCCCCCAAAAAAAACCAAGAACAAAAAACATCACAAGGGTGTCTAGGGGATAGAAATATAGACACCCTTGGTCTTCTTCCGAACGGCAGTAAAAACCTTGCCAAAGATGGGCGTCCGTTTTGGCTTGCGGGATGTATAGATACGTAGCCACGTCAGGTTAGAATGGGAACGTTAAATGTTATGCCTCATGTAGAGAGTATGCCACGCTCTCTGCACGTTAAGAACCTTTACAATAACTCTATAAGGGGTCAAAGGTGATCTTTTGCAAGGAAAATATATAGTCCCTTCCCAACTTATCCTCATTTTCCAGTGGAAGTCCAAATTTCCCGACCTTCATCCCAGACGGCCCCTTTTACAAGACCTATTTATTGATTATTTATTCTCGACCTGAACGAACATGAAATATTTGCCATTGGACAACCAACAATCAATCAATCAATCTTATATCCAATATTATATCATAAAAGGCATCCATTTGTTCACGTTCATCATTTAGAGTCGAAAGCGCATCTGAAGTAGAACAATTGGTACCGTCAATGTTATAACTATCACCGGGCCATGGGGCTGAAACCATCAGTCCCCGGATATATCACGTGCACAGTAGCCACTAATTAGGTACTAGCGTTAAAATACGGATATTTTTTTTCATTGCTTATATAAAAGTTGAGAAATCATTTAAATAAAGGAATTGACTCCTTCGTGCAAAGCTCCGATACCTTGTCCTGATTCGGGTATACTTCTGGTCCTTTATGGTTTTATCAGCTCTGCAATGTTTGTGTTAGGTTTTGGCCTCGAGAATCACCGAAGAGACATAATATGAGTAGTCGAAATACACATCTGTTGCAGCACAGGAACATTGGTACGTTAATCTTATATCTACTACCGGGTAGGCACATCTGTTAGTGAACTGTAAGTCCCAGAGAGTATCACCAGCCAAGTTGCCACTTACTTTGGGCACGCAGAAACGGTTATTGATTGATTGATTTTTTTTCTTATAAAAATAAAAACTTTTAAATCATTTAAATTAAGGAATATATGTACATGCTCTTCTTCTTTAAATATACAATATACCAATCAATATTTGCCGTAAATTTTAACTTATGAAATATATAGAATATATATCTACACAGCAAAAAGTAAATTAGATTAAGATAACCATTTATTCACTAATTCTGGTAACACTATCAAACTTTTAAGTAATATTTAGATATAGTCGCTGTCCCCATCAACAGATAAATTACTATTATCATGTCAAAATTACGACGATCTGATAGTCCAGTTACGATTATCATATCAAACAAATTTCTTGCAGTTACGATTATCGTCCTTGAAATTTCGATGGCTTTTATTTTCGTAACGAGGCCATATATGATATAACAAGCTTACTATAAACTTTTACCACCACCAACACTCCAACCCCCCCCCCCCCCCCCCCCCCCAAAAAAAAAGAAAGAAAAAAAAAGACTATTTCCAAAACATTTTGACTTCCTTTAATTATCCATCTCCACCAGCTGGTAAATAATGACCGTTTCCTCATTGTCACAAAAAGGAAAAGCCTAATCAAATGGAATTACAAACTTCATGGTCACACACTGGAGCATGCAACGTAAATGTAAAACAATTTAAATGAGAAAACTAACGGCCCAATTTATGTACAAAATAATAAACGAAAAACAATTATGACATACAAGAACAAACGACAACCACTGAATTACAGGCTTCTGACTTGGGACAGGCACATGCAGAATGGTAAAAGCCGGACAACACATGGAATAAGCCTCGACAAAATAGGACCCCTTT